AATATTGTAGTGATGTATTAAATAATGCTTCGCTTTAACTTGATTATTAGGTAGTATATATTTAAGCATGTTCATTACTGTCAAACTGTCTAATAATTAGAATAAGAGGAAAATAACGTAAATAGGACTTTATTAAACCAGCTTGGCAAAATTGATTAAGTTCACTATTTATGAAGGTTTTAATATTGTCAACATTAAGTTAATCGAAAACACGTAGCTAAATTTAGTTAAAGCATGAATTTAATTTAATTTTGCGAATTAGGCATTATGGTGATTTGAGTTAAAACAAGGCGAGTTAAGGTTAAATTAAATAAATTCTAGAAATATGCATTAGTAATTAAGATTGTTTCTAATTTTCAGTAGTTGAAAATAATTAATTTCAATAGCTCAAGTCACCTAACAATGTAAGTTTAATCCGGTTAGGGGATAATTAGTTTCTTTTAAATATTATTTGACAATTCCATATTGTATTTATAATTACAATTTTAGTAATATTCCTTTCCGTTAATATTTGTCTTAAATTAGTATTTAATATGTTATTTTTAAGTATGTAAAATTTGAATTTTATATTTATAGACAAATTTAATAAAAAAATGTAGTCATTTTAGGATATTCATAAAATAAAAGAGGTTTTCGCAAAAAAAATAAATAAATAAAATAAAAAGTAAAAAATAAAAAATAAAAAACAATACAAAAATTACAGGGCCCTCAAATATTATTTATTTTCTTAAAAAAAAATACTTAGATTCTGGGATGGGCCGTTTAGTAAATTTCACGGTCTTACCTAAAAGTATAATAACGCGTAATCTTTAGGCGCGTATTTAATAAGGTTATTTTCTTAAATATGGGTGTGCATTTATGTAACCCAAATCCCAATCTTGACGGAGTTAAAATGCGTCAACAAATCACGTGTACACTGGTTGTGACGTGGTTCGAGATGCGTTTTCACGACGTTGCAATTCTTGTATAAAATAATAATAATAATAATGATAAAAGCGGTCCAAAGCTAAATTTGCATATAAGTTCTTAATTGTTTAAAAAATCAGATAAATAAGCCAAATATAACAGTTGAGCGACCGTGCTAGAACCACAGAATTCGGGAATGCCTAACACCTTCTCCCGGGTTAACAGAATTCCTTATCCGGATTTCTGATTCGCAAACTGTAATACAGAGTCATTCTTTTCCTCGATACGGGATTAAATTGGTGACTTGGGACACCCTAAATCTCCCAAGTGGCGACTCTGAATAAATAAATAAATCCCGTTTCGATTGTCCTTTAATTGGAAGAACTCCTTCACCCTTTGCGGGGACGGAAAAAGGAGGTGTGACAACGTATGTTCGAAATAAAAAGTCTACATGCTCAAAAGGGTTTACTAAGAATAGATTTTATTTGCGATACACAATTAAGCTCAAAAAGATCAAAGAAAGCCCAAAATTATTTTATAAACTGAGCATCACCTAAAATGTCGCTTCAACTCACATACCGGGCAAATTCTAGACTTAATCACAATAACATGGACTATACAAAATCTCTCCTCACACATGACGCATGACTCACTATGAACGGTTTCATTCCGACTCTAATGCAAGTGATCACAAAGCCACAAGATATTAAGCATTAAGCACAAAGTGAATATAAGTCAAGCAAAAGAGACATAGGCGTCACAAGATATGGTATCCAAATTCATCAAAGCATCATGAACAATTTCAAAATATAGGGAATATACTCCACATGCCAAAACCTAAATATGCTACTATCAAACAAGTCAAGGGCACCTAGATTTATTAATCTTTCTCCTTTTATTTCCTAAATTCCTAATCTACTTTAAAAATAAATAAAAAATACGACATGGTTCAAACTACATCCCATGAAAAAAATTAAGGCACAAAGAAAAATCATGGGGGATTATTACTACCTAAAGGAAAATAAAAGACATATTTTTTGATTTTTCTGTTTTCACACTTTTTTGTGATTTTTTTATTGGACCTTAATCCATCAAGAAAGCTGCCCACAAAATCCATCGTCGGAAAAAGTCCAAAAAATTTCTGATTTTTTTTTAACAAAAACTAGTACACTAAGAAAGAGTACCACCACTAAGATAGGATAGCATAAAAAAATCACCCAGACAATCTCCTCAAAGCACACTTAAAATTGTGCAATGTCCTCAATGCATTTAATAACTAATAAGAGGGTAAAAGAGACTCACTGGTAGGCCAAAGGCTGACGCATTAGCAGCTCACGGGATACTTAGACTTCTCTCAGGCATTGGTCTTGTGTGTGGACACCCCACACTTATTTTTGGTCATCTGCTCGCTTTTGCACACCACACTTACTTTGTGTGTTGCTCCCAAATGCACACGCAACTATACGTGGTCGATAAGTAATATAGGATTGTAAGTTCAGATATCGTACCCATGGGGACTTGTATTAACTATCAATTAAATTAAAACCAAATAATTAATCTATTCAAGCGATTTTCTAAAGTATGTATATTTAACTAAAACTAATCAAGAGTAACAAACTAAGCGATTATAGAAAACAAGTCGGCAATCTTAGAGACGAATTCAATGGGAATAAATATTCCAGAATTATAGATTAGCTAACAATACCATTGAGTTTTTTTTTTACTTAAATTGACTAATTAATTTATTTGATTTATTGATTGATAGGGTTAATATTACGCATAGTATTCTCCCGAAGTACTACTCGCCTATTCAAGCTAACATAATACCTATATTCCTATGAAATAAGAATTAACAAAAGCACATTAATAATTTCAGTATAGTAACCAATCAAGGCGATTAGTTATATCCCTATCCTAATCGTAAATCTATTCCCGATACTCAGGTTCAATATCTTGCTCTACTCAATCTTATATGCAATCTAGAATTCCTTCTCCCGAGTTCAATCCTAGATTTGTAGATAGTATTCAATTGGTGATCAAGCAATCAAATAATTAAGCACAAGATTGAATAAATAAACCAATATGATAAAATAACAAAAATAATTCAAGCTTCAAATTACAACGTTCATGTAGCACTCCACAACTCAAGAACTAATAAACTATGAGATTAAATCTTCTTCAAGCGTGGCTTTCGTTCTCCCCTCCAAAAGTGGCGCGTTCTCCTCCCAAAAATTGACCAACACCTTAATAATTACGTTTATAGGGTATTTATAGGTTAGGATAGGAGTCTCCTAGTCCAAAACCGAGTAGAAAATAACTTATTCATGGATTGGGGGATCAGACCTTAGAGCAGGCGAGGCCTGGTCTGTAACTAGGTGGACCATGCTTTAGAGCAGGTGAGGCCTGGTTTGGGGCGTGATTCCCTTGCCTTAATCCGATTTTTTCCTTTTCGTGCTCTTTTCTTGTGTCTTCAACAAATTTTATGCAACTTTCATTCATTTATGTATTCCAATGGTCCTACTCATAAAAATAACTCAATTAAACTCAAACATAGAACAATTAATCATTAAAACACTTAAATATAAAATAAGCAATACACTAAAAATATACGTTTATAGCCGAACATCAAAAATATATATTGGGCATAATTACATAGTAGAAGGAGCATCTATGCTCCGAGGTAGTTTAGTGTTTTGGTCTACCACATTACTATTACATTCCACCGTTTGATATTGAAACGTAGTTCCTATAAAAGAGGTTCTTCTTAAGATTATCTTAGTGCATCCTCACTTTCATTAATCTTCTTTCTTTAATAATTTCCTACTCATTATCAAAGCTTAGATAAAAGCTAATATCTCACCACCAAATGGGAAAAAGAAAACTAAGGCTAGGAAGTGATTGAGATATGGACAAGGTGACAGGGAAATAACATACCCACCTTTATAAATAATTGACTAAGAGAAATAGGAACATTATCTCTTTAAAGAAACAATAAAAAAGTAGTTTAGTTAAGCTCTGTTTACCTAACATGTTTCCATTTCATCATTTTGGTTCATTATTTTAATTGATAAAAGAGGATTATAAAATGTAAGACGTATCAATCATGATAGCATTTTCGAGAAGCATATCAACAAAAGCCAATTTAGGTTGTCATTGTCCTATGAATATTTTAACTCTAATTTTTGGTAATGCTTTACTTCATGACAATTATTTAAGTGGTTTTGGATAAGGGTGGTGGAATAAGGTCATAGGTTTAGGAACTTGTTTTCATTTTTTTTATCCTCATGACAATGACAGCCACAAGAGACGGATACAGACAAATGCATCAATTAAGAGATTCCTAAGCATTTTTATAAATAAAAATTATCTTGCGTCTCATACATAAATTATGGAGCTTCAAATTGGATTTAAAGGTTTATAATTTAAATTTACTAATTTCTAAAAAAAAAAAAAAAAAAAAAAAAAAAAAAAAAAAAAAAAAAAAAAAACTCGCACAACTTATGTCAAGTTGCATCATATCAAAGGTCTAATGAGTGTTTTGTTTGGACATTTAACTAAATAATAATTATATGGTCCCACAAAAATATTGAAACTGATAATAGACGATTAATGTGTTCAATAAAAAAAGAGTGACTATGTAGAAATGATTGAAATTTCTTAAAATTATTTGAAAAATAACACGGAGAAGGACGAAAGGTAGAAATGAAATGAAGAGGAAGTTAGCACTTTAGTTTTGGAGTGGTATTCAAAAATATACTTAGTAAATGTTATCTGATGCAAGTGTTACTGAATTAATGTATGTATTATCTTTACTATCGTTGGATACAAATGAGTATTTGTTGATTTTCAGAAATAGACATTTCAGCTAGTGTTATGTGACTCTTCCTCGATTAGAAAAATGGATGCGACAAATAGAGGCAAAGATAACTAAGAGTCATTGTCGCTTTTCTTATATACACTTTTTACTAGTAATTCTTATTATTGCTTAATTTCTAAGCCAATAGGCTTCGAGTGCAAGTTAATTTTTACCTAGTTTATATAGGTAAACTAGGTAAATTCAGTTTGGCTAAACTAAAAACCGAAAAGGAAAGAGAAGCCGAAACATTAATTTAAATTACTAGGAAGCAACAATAATTCAAAGATACAAGAGACAAGATTGAAAAAAGAGAGCAAGGAAGTAAAAATAAAAAAGGGAAATGAAGATTACAAGTAGAAAAATACACAAAAGAGGGAAATTCATAGGAAAAACAAACAGTACATTTTTTTTTCTTTTCCCATTGGGAAATATCTACAATTTTTCATGGCTGGTTTTATTCAATTGGATTGAAATTTTTTAGGCATTGCTCCTGAAGGAACCAAGAGCTTTGATGGCACCAGCACGGAGGATGAACTGGTGGTAGACGGCGGCGGCGAAGGCTCCGATGAAGGGACCCACCCAGAAAATCCAGTGTTCATCCCAAGCTTTGTCATGATTGTAAATAACTGCTGCACCAAAACTTCTAGCAGGATTGATGCCAGTTCCAGTAATTGGTATGGTGGCTAAGTGAACCATGAACACAGCAAATCCAATTGGAAGTGGTGCCAACACCTGATCATATTCAAATATAATACAACATTAGATCGATTATCGTTCTTTTTTTTTAAAAATAATTTAAGGTTTTGTTGTATACTTAGATTAATCAATTTTATACCTGGAAGTTTAGTGAATATGTACAAAGAACGCAAAGGTCACCAAACTGCTTCTATATGTGGGTCGTAGGAAGGGCGATAACATATTGGGTCTATTATACCTAATTTTATTTTGTATTTTTTCTTTTTTGTAATTAATTGCTTTTACATAGTGAACTCATAATCTTCTGGTTATATGATAACTTTTAGTGTTATGGCCAAACTCCGTTTAAATCATTATGTAAAACAAATTCTGTAATGAAATGGGCGAATTACTTAAAGAATGGGATAATGTTAAGGTTACCAAGTTTTTTATATAATTTTTTTATGAAAGATTATAGAGAAAATGGTACATGGTGTTAGGTTACCTGCCTCTTTCAATTACACTAAAAGTTATAATGGGTAGAAAATTGGCTATTTGGCATCACAAAATCAAATACTTCTTCTATCAACTAGAAGCCCTGGTGAGTCACTTTTAGAAAGTCAAAGAGAGCGTTGTCTTTAGCTATGGTTTGTAGTCGATCCCATAGCTAGTATTGGAGGCCTAACAAACGCTACAACTCAGAAAAGGATTGGGGTGAAACTGATATAATGAGATTAGGATAAGACTTGGGCCTTTTTTGACAATAAATAATATTTTTGTATTTGTAAATACAAAATTTGAACGAGAGTTATTGTCATGTTATCAGGAGGTCATGGGTTCGAGCCGTGATCTCTTGCAAAATGCAGGATAAGAGCGGGAGCTTAGTGCACCGGGGCAAAATTTCACTATTTACAAATATTGGTTTGCCCTTAAAAAATATGAAGAGAATAGAATACTTACAGGGACATGGGAGTCTCTAGCATTTCTCTTAGGGTCAGTGGCAGAGAAGACAGTGTAAACCAAAACAAAAGTACCAATAATTTCAGCAGCTAATCCAACACCTTTGGTATGGCCAGGAGCCATGACATTAGCACCTCCACCATACCTAACATAATAAGCACTCTGGAATGCCTTCACAAAACCCACACCACAGATTGCACCCAAACACTGTGCCACCATGTACAATACTGCTCTGATCAATGATACTTTCCTTGCCAAAAACAGCCCAAATGTCACTGCTGGGTTTATGTGTCCTCCTGTATGCATATAAACGTATATTAGTAATATTTAATTTTTGTGCACTGATAATTTTTATTTTATATTAAGATGACTAATAATAACATATAATCATTAATAAATATTCTAATCTGAGATGACTTTTATGACGAATTAAAATGGGTGATATTTTTTTTTAAAAATTACTCCTTTAGTGCATATAAATTAAATTTGTATTTTCACACAATTCAATATGATATCAGAGTATTTGAATTAAAATTTCACGATTATCATATTATCAAGATGACTTTCTACTAAGAAATAAAACCAACTGAATTGTAAAGAAACAATTAATACACTTAAAAGAATCACCTAAACGATAATAAAAAGTAATTATTTATAAAATTAAATTCAGTAACTTAAAAAATAAGAACAGATTATTTGCTATAATAAATTAAAATAGACATAGTTAGATACTAAAAATTATTTACACTTTCAATATGTATAATTGAGTTGAAATTAACTTTTATATACAGCCAAAAAATTTAATAATATCAATTGATGTAAAACATGACTAAAAAAAAAGTTAATAACCTAAAAATAGAGCATATTACTTGCTATAATCTGTTTGACGGGACACGAAATTTAAGAAAAAATGAATATTTTTAAAATTTATGGCCCTAAACAAGTCAAAAAATATCCAAATTTAAAAAAAAAATATTCTTTTTGGAACGAACAAAAAAAATAAATCGACCTAAACTGACACAGAGGGAGGGTGAAGCAAGNATTAGTATTTAACTGCTCCAGTAAAGTTTAGTTTTTACTATTGTTCGGTTAAGATGATTTACAATTTGAAGCAAGAAACTAAACTTACCGGAGATACCGGCGGTGCAGTAAACAAGAATGAAAATCATGCCACCAAAAGCCCAAGCAATACCAAGAATACCAACGCCGCCACAGATATCACCGTCGGCTTTGACATCTGACTGGACCTTATACCCAATCACAGTCAAAACAGTAACATAAAGGAAAAGCAAAGTGGCAATGAACTCAGCAATAACAGCTCTGTAAAGTGACCATTGTGTCAGCTCCTCAAAGTCTACTAAAGGAGCTGGTGGAGGGTCAGTATAGTCTTTTGCTGAAAACTCTGTTGGTTGCTCTGTTGCTACCTCTACTTCTTTAGTCATGGCTGACGAAAAAGAAAGAAAATTTGAAACAAGGGATATGGATGATGAGAAGTGAGTGTAAAATGGATAGGTATTTATGGGAGAAAAGAGAGGACTTTTAATGATTTATTTTAGAGTGGAAAAAGAATTTATGTTTAGTTTAATTGTTTTAACTTAATATTATTTTGAGCCGTCCAATACTACTCCATTATTGTCGAATTTGTGAGCTTGCAATTGGTCCCCACGGGCCACCATTTCAATACAACGGCTTTCTTATAGTCTACCTTTGGCTTTCTACTTAATTAAAATGTGTTCTTTTAGTACGTTATCTTTTGTGGTTTTTGTTTTATTTGATTGGTTTGGCATTTAGACTTTAATTTATTAATTTGGAGTATTTTCAGAAAGATTTATCAAAAGCTTAGAAAGGGAAATTTGCCTGGCAACGGTACGTGGCTAGCTGGATTGCAAAACAAAACTAGAAAACGAAAGCAATTATAAAACAACAACAACAACCCACTAAAATTCTAATGGTGGGATCTGGGGAAGGTAGTGTGTAAGCAGACCTTATCCCTATCTCAAAGGAGTAAAGAGGCTGTTTCCGAAAGACCCTCGGCTCAAGAAAACACAAAGACAAAAGAGAAAAATATTAGTATCACCACGATAATCATAGAAAAAAAAATAGAAACATGAAATTTAGAAGGAAGAGGCAAAACAAAAGTGATAGTTAGTAAAATAGGTTTTGTACTAAAAAAAAAACCAATTATAAAAGTTGATACATAATGCTGTAATTTTAAAGAAAATACCTCTGGCCATATTATTTGTTGTTTTGACAAGTTTTGACTTTGTTTAATTAATTGACGTTTTAGTAAAAAATAAAAATACAAACATTTATGCGGAGTAATTTTTTTCAAATTTACTATTACTATTCTAATAGTAGTAGTGATAAAGAACAATTTTGACAAATATTCTTATTAAGATTGTTAAATATTTTTCTTAAAGCATGTGCATGAATATTGGACGAAATAACTCCAACAGTATATCGATAGCGATTTAGATAACTTCTCCAAGTCTGCCTTATCTATTTGTAGGGGCGTACAAATGAAACTGATAAATTGCACCAACTTAATAATTCGAGTTAAACCGAAAAAAAATCCAATTATAGTTTGGTGTTGAAAAAAATAACCCGACCATGTTTAGTTTGGTTTGGTTTTAACTAAAAAAATTCAAACCGAAACCAAACCAACCCGCTATTATATGTATAGAAGTTTTAAATATATTTAATATATAAAAATATTTATAGTAGTGTAGTTTATAAATATTCCTTAAGCTTTTTTATAGTTTTATTTTTTCACGTATTCTTTCAAGTTTGGACTTATAATTTTTGGATGCTCCAATAAGTTTTATAGTTCATAAATGTTAGTAACTCAAATAAATCCTAAACCAATATCAAATCAATGTTAATGCTAATAAAAGACATTCAACTCAATTATACTATTAATGAAAATAGTGTTGGATATTTATTTTTTAGTTTTTCCGTGGTTTAGATAAAATGTATAACTTATTTTTCTTTTAGTGTTTAGTCATCTAAATAGTACTATTTATTAGTCATACTTATTTTAGCAAATTATTAGTAATTTTAAATTATGCTTGTTTATTATGGCTTATTAATAATACTTATTTTATGCGATTTTATTATCTTTATTGTTGAATTTTTAGTTGTTTTCTTTCATTGTTGATCACCTTACTATCTTGTTCTTTTTTTTCCTATTTTTATATGGCTTTTTGGTACTGTCCCTTTTTGTCTATATTTTCATTAATGGGGTGCTTATGCTTTCATGAGCCGAGGGTCTGTTGGAAACAACCTCTCTATCCTCACAAGGTGGGGGTAAGGTCTACGAACACACTATCCTCCCCAGACCCCACGGTGTGGGATAATACTGGGTATGTTGTTGTTGTTGTTGAATATTTTAGTACAATGCCCTGACTCATCTCATATTTATGTTATTTTATTGAAAAACACCTTATATAGTTCTATTTTACTAGGATTAAAGAAATATTTGAAGCACAAATTCTATATTTTGTGTTATGAAAGACTTTATGAAAAAAAAAATCGAAAAAACTCGAGAAAAACCGAGATTGAAAAATCCGACTTTTATTGGTTTGGTTTGGTCTTTAAATTTAATAACGATACAATTGATTTGATTTGGTAATTAGAAAATCGGAACCAACTCGACCTATGTACACCCCTGCCTATTTGTGTGTGATCAAGTCGACCAATCCAAACATCTGTAGATAGAAGTTGTTTGTCGATCAGTAGACTCATGCTCAATATCGTTTAGGCCATTATGAATCAAAGCTAGTAGTATTAATTTAAGTGCTTAAGAGAAAATTTCTGATTTTGAAAGAGGATGCTTCATATTTTCCCAAAAAGAACCAAAATCGTAAAACTTGAGAAGCACGTTAATCTGTGTGTAGAATATTGGCGATTCTTCTGATAATTTTTCGAGTGTATAATAATGTGCAACTAAAGAAAAAAGGCTATGGAATTGGCAACTAAAAGGGTGGAAGAAAAGAACAAAAACAAAAAAGGTAATGCATTGTCGACAAATATTGTAAGTACTATCTTCGTTCTCTTTTATATTTTTATTTGTCCAATTTGCTTTTTTGCTTTTTACACTGCTCTTAGGTAAATATTAAAAAGTATTTATTTTACTAAATTATTCTCATTAATGGTAATTAGACTACTAATATTTCAATTAATTTACATAAGGACAAGGGTAAAATTTAAAAACTAACAAATTCACTCTTAATTTGCTAAAATAGACAAATAAAAAAATTTAATATTATTTACTCGTAAAACAGTACAGTTGAATTTATACATTATTTATAAACAACTGAATTAATTTTGATCATGAAATAATAGATGAATTAGATAAAAATATAATACTTAGCCTTAAGATAGAGATAAAATAGCAGAAATAGTAATTCTGGGAGCAAGGTTCCCCGGGCACAATAGCAATGATATCAAAGAACAAAAAGATAACATTGTATTAAGCTTTGAATAGAATGAAGCGAATGTTTGCTAGAAAATTCTTTTTTTCTTCAATGATAGTAGAGCTCACTATTTATAGCTGCACATAGGGAACAAGGTCCTAGGATCAAGCCCCTCTTTAATGTCAGTTGTGAGGGTCATTAAAGTATAAAGGCAGGCAATGAATGTTATATTCCTTGTAACGGACCATATACTTAATGCTTTAGAGTATTCTTCATTTAATGCTACCGGTGGTAGACATTTATTTCATCTCTGTGAGTATTACTCTCTCTGCTAACAGATGGGATTGTCGCCTTCCGATTCAACTGTCTTCTGTCTTCGGATCCACGCGTCACTTTCTTATTTGATCATTTAAAGTAAACATATTTTACCCTATACAGATAGTCCCTCTACTTTTCGGTGGCACAAATTTATGTCACCGGAAAGTTGGTAGAAAATAACTCTTTTGGCGGAAAATTCACTGACCTTCTCTGAAAAGTTTTCTAACGGTTGATTAGACGCAAGTCTCTTTGCATTTAATGTCTCGAAAATGCGTCATCCCATGATTTAGCATTAGTTTTATTGGTCATCGAGATAATTATGGCCACAATTTTAGCCGCCTATTTCTTCACTTATACACATCAAACTCTTTTATTCACACCTCATAATTCTTCAAAATCTATCAAACTTTCTTCGTTCAACTCGTACTTTATCTCCACCATTTCTTTAATTTCCTTCATATGAGAAAAGCTTTTCCTTCATCTTTAACATAGAATGGCTTCTTCTTCTAAAAAACTTAGTTCCTCAAAGAACAAAGGCAAAGCCGATGAGGCCACTCCTCCTACAACAAGCACCATCATCCCTAGAAGTCTCGTCATAACTTAAGTCTTCGAAGAAAATTTCCTTCTGCTAATGCTCGTACATGGGCTGTTGGCAGATACCCTTCTTCCATCCGTCCTTCCAGTATTCCTACTGTGAAGGAAGATTGCCGTTGTCAGGATTTAGATATTATCGCTCCTGATCTGACGGAGTGGATAACCTTACCCAAGAAGGGTTTTACATAATTCTATATGTATCCCTTCATTTTGGGGGCATTTTCTCTAAGTGGAGAGCTTGACTCCGTTATTGTGGAATTCTGCCTCTATTGCTTGGTGTGTTTGACACAAGTAAGTCCTTCCATATGGAGGATTATTGCTTGTCTTCGGCGCCTTTTATAAGAAATGGGAGAGGAGCTATCTCTAGCTCACGTGATGAATCTCTATTACCCCAAGATCTTATGCAAGGGAATGGTAAATTTCAACAAACATGGCCACTATTTGCAACAAATTATTTGTGTTACAAAAATAAATCATAACCACAATATAAATATGAAGAAACACAATTTTATTGATAAATAATGCGGGTAAAATTCTGTTTATCTCTTGATTCTTCCCTCTGCTTTATTCTACATGATTCGAGGATCTTAGCGGCATATTTCTCGAACGTAGGACTTTAAGCAAGATATATTTGACATGTCTTTGATCTCTTAATGAATATTCCAAAAGTTTCATGGAATATCGAAGATATCATATTTGATCTCTTTGTGCATATTTCTAGAGTTTATAGAATTGCTGAGATTGTATTTGAAGGACATATGTAGCCTTATTTATAAGCATAAATTAGGGTTTGGGTAGTGTAGCCACCAAGTAATCCTAATAGACTCCTAATATTTCAAGACGCATCTTGAATTAAGGATTTATCTTGATCTGCTGAAATTTTAGTGTCTACAAATGCCCCCTACTTCAAGGTCTGTCGAAGTATAGGCTTGCTAAAACTTGAAGACGAGACTTGAAGTACCTAACAATCACAACAAATAATCATGAAACTTGAAATTTTTTATTTGCAGGAGAAAGAGTTGAAGGGCAGAACTGGTCCCACTGGGCGTGCCAATTTGTTTGCAACAAATTATTTGTGATTCAAAAATAAATCTTAACCACAATATAAATATGAATAAACATAATTTTATTGATAAACAATGCGGGTACAATTCTGTTTATCCCTTGATTCTTCCCTCTGCTTTTTTCTATGTGATTCGAGGGCGTTAACAGTGTATTTCTTGAACG